CCCGCCAGCCCTCCCTGAACAACCGAGGCACTTGCCCCCGCCCCCTGCGCGCCTGCGCACTCGGCCCGCGATAGGCGCTCTGGAAGCCCGCAGAGTTGAGGGCTCGGTGGTCCTCAGAGCTGGTGGCAGCACGGGTACGCGGAGCCAGGCTCTGCTGTGGCCTCTGCTTTTCTGAAGGAAACGTGTACGGGAAGGGGCAGATTCTGTGGACCGGACCGGGGGTGGGTCCTGGGGCCTCGGCCTACTAGGCGATTCCTCCCGAGTGAGGAGACCCGGACGGGGTGGGTTTAAACTCGTGCGGCAATAACTGTGCGGGGCCCGGTTTGTGGGCGCGGCCTATTATGCAGTGCGAGACCCTGCGGTCTTAACGCACCTCGGTCTTCTCAACCACCAAGGCCCGGCCGCAGAGGGCAGTTGGAGGTGGAGCCCCAGAATAAAGGTCCCCTGCAAAACGCTGGAGCTAGATTCAGGGCTGACCTCTGAGGTCCGGAGGACCCGCTGGACCGCAAACCTTTCCTCGTTTGTCTCTCGTTTCCGTTTGTGCATGCCTGTGGCGGTTAGCGAGGGTCACGGGGCTTGGAGGGTGGTTTCTAACCGATCAAGAAAAGCCTGGGATGTAATGAACACTATTTGCTTCCCCAGCCCGGCCAGTCTCCAGAGAAGGCCTTTGAAGTGAAACGAATCGCTGCCGCGCCTCGGAAAGCCAGGTTCTGTGTGAGTTTGTGCTGCTTCTTTGTTTCCGTGAAATGCATTTGATTTTCAGAACACTGGGCTTTTTGATTTTCTTCCCTTGGAATGTGCTGCTTAAGAATGGTCTATTCATTGATTTGGGCCTCAAGATTTCCCTACGTAGTTAACGGCGGGGGACCTAATTAATAGGTAACACTCGCTAGTGTTCATTTAATGCAGTTAGTTCATCGTATGCTATATATTCAGTTGCTTTGTGAGCACTTTTTCTTAAGGATTCTGATTATGGAAATACCCCGTTTGGAAGTCAATGTTCATGCTTTGTTTTCGACTGTGGTTTGTTAAGGAGTAATTTAGGGTTTGTTTAGATACCTTCAATGATTCCAGAATAGGGATGGGGATTTTTTTTCCAAGGAACTCCGTGATTGGAAATTTGGGGTACCAGCCAGATGTGGTTGGAGGTTTGGTAGCATGAGTTTGTTTTGCTTATTTTTGATAAATACAAAATGGTATATACTTAAGGTGTACAACAGGATGTTTCAGTATATGTATACATTGTGGAATGAAATGATTACCACAATCAGACCAATTAACATCCAACACCTCAGAGTTATTTTGTGTGTGGTGAGAAAACTTAAGATCTACTCTTAAATTTCAAATTTCAAGTATATAATACAGTAACCGTGCTGTACATTAGGTCTTAAGAACTTGTTCTTACGATTGAAAGTTTGTACCATTAGTTTATTTGGGGTATGTTTTTCAATAGACTGAGGTATATAAGGTGTTTAAGAATTTTGAACCTAGATTAAAGGAATTTGGATCCTGCCTGCCACTTAAATCTGAGTGAGTTTGAGCAGTATTTCTGGTCCCAGTTTCTTTATCTGTAAATTCAGAATTACAATAGTATATACCTCACAGTGTGGTTTTAAAGATTACCTGAATTAATATCTGTTAAGCTCTTAGAGGACTACCTGGCACATTAGAAGAGTGCTTAACTAATATTAGCTATTGGTTTTAAATGATGATTCTTAGTCATTCCTTATCAGCTTTCTGTATTCCCAAAAGTAATGAAAATCTGAGATTAATTAGGATGGATGCTTGCAAGCAGGAAATGAATCAGACACTCGAATGAACCAAAAGAGGGATTCTTTTTTTTTTTAAAGATTGTATTTATTCATTAGAGAGAGAGCGTGCACGAGTCGGGGGGGCATGGGATGGGGGCAGTGGGAGAAGAAAACTCCCCCTGAGTGTGGAGCCTGGAGGGTGGAGGGATGGGGGGTGCTCTATCCCAGGACCCTGAGACCATGACCTGAGCCGAAATCAGATGCTTAACCCACTGAGCCACCCAGGTACCCCCCAAAAGAGGGATTCTTAACATGAAGTCTTTGGACTCAGTTATGTGTTTTCAGGACAACAAAAATCTAAGGTTATGTACAAGATTGTTGTATATATTTGTCAGCAGGTAATTTGGTGGGGAGGAAGTCTATCATTTCATGATATTATCAAAGTTGTATAAGACCCAACAAGATTGATTCTTACAAGTGTAGAATAAAAGTCTGGGATAACTAGGAATGACTTTTGGGATAATCTTTTATAAAAGTAGTATCCCATGCAATACTAAAAATTATGTTTATTAGTAATTTAGTCATCAGGAAAATATATATGTATATAATGTAATATTGAGAAATATTTATTATGAATAAAAATGTTTAAGAAATTGTTAAGTTACAGAACCATGAGAGACTATGGACTCTGAGAAAAAACAGGGTTCTAGAGGGGAGGGGGTGGGGGGATGGGTTAGCCTGGTGATGGATATTAAAGAGGGCACGAATTCAATGGAGCACTGGGTGTTATACACAAACGATGAATCGTGGAACACTACATTAAAAACTAATGATGTATGGTGATTAACATAACATAATAAAATAAAAAAAGAAATTGTTAAGTTACATATGTATCTTGAACACGATTTATAAGATGCATTGCAAGGATTTAATAACTGATGTATTCATTGGAGCCCAGGAGGGTTAAGCTCAAGTTATTGAGCAGCTGCTCTGAAATAAGCATTTCTTTTTCTGTCTCATAATCACTTTGGAAAAGCCCTGTGATCCTTCACAGAAGGATCTCAGGTGTTGATGAGAGACAATATTCAATTGGTAGGAATTATTTTTTCAGGGCGCCTGGGTGGCTCAGTTGGTTGAGCGACTGCTCTTTAAAAAAAAAAAAAAGGAATTATTTTTTCAGTCACATTGATTTCCTGGTTGTTACCACTTACGTAGGCCTATTTAATCACAATTTTCTTTTTTTTTTTAGATTTTATTTATTTATTTATTTGAGAGAGAGAGAGAGCACATGAGAGGGGGAAGGGTCAGAGGGAGAAGCAGACTCCCTGCTGAGCAGGAAGCCTGATGCGGGACTTGATCCCGAGACTCCAGGATCATGACCTGAGCCGAAAGCAGTCTCTTAACCAACTGAGCCACCCAGGCGCCCTAATCACAATTTTCTTAATGACTACAAGGTACCCCATTCTCCCAACTCATTAAAAAATTCTTTTTAATGGGAATGGCTTTTTAAAACAATATTTCTGATGGAGTTAATGCAGGGTTGTGAAATAATAAGTAACTGAGGGACCTAAAAGAGAAGAAATTAAAATTATCCATGGTCTCAACATCCAAAAACAATCACTATTAATATTTGTAGCATATTTTCCCAAAATATTTCTACAAGTATATGTATTTTTGTATGTGGTTTTATTTATGAATAATGGGATAACCCTAATTGAAAATTTAAAAGAAATCAAGACCTCTAGTTATTAGTTTAAAAGAGACATTCAGGGCGCCTGGGTGGCTCAGTTGGTTAAGCGACTGCCTTCGGCTCAGGTCATGATCCCGGGGTCCTGGGATCGAGTCCCACGTCGGGCTCCCAGCTCAGCGGGGAGCCTGCTTCTCCCTCTGACTCTCTCCCCTCTCATGCTGTTTCTCTCTCGCTCGCTCTCTAATAAATAAATAAAATCTTTAAAAAAAAAAAATAAAAAAAAAATAAAAGAGACATTCAGTACCCTCATGGATTTTATGGATTCTATAATCATAGATGTATGGAGAAAGGCAAAATCCCAGCAGTCCCCTTCTTGTTTGAGAAATCTTCCAAGTAATTATAATTCTTATGATAGAAATGGCATTTAAATTGAGAGACTTAATTATAATTTAAAATTAATTTTAAAATGTCAGGATTGAAATATGGAGATTTCCCCCCATCTACTGATGTTTGTTTCACATTAATGATTTAAAATCACTAATTATATTATATATTGTTTTATAAACCGATTTTTTTTTCTTTCAGTGTATCTTGAATACTTTCTATTCCTTAACTGTTCTCTAGAACTTAGCAATTCATAATTACTTTAGTATTCAGTATTTTATGGATGTTTTATAAATCATTTAAGAAATCAGCTATTGGGCAGTAATATTCAAACTGCCTGAGCAATTCCTTTGACAGGCTTTCTCTGTGATATTACTTACCTAACTTTTCACTTCATGGTCATGTAGGATTTCAGAGAGAGGAACACTAAGGAATACGGCATTGATTTTTACCAGGTGGGTTACAGGTGATACTCTGAAGTGTTTGGCTGAATTTCTGCAGGATTCTTACAATATGAAATAGACCACTGTGCTATTTTATGCCAAAAGCTTCATTCATCCTCCTGATCCTTTATTTGGGTGAGAGTTTGAGAAATGAATTAATGATAATTTCCTAGAAAACTAAGCTTACAAAAAACAAAATTATTTTAACCTCAGCAAAGAGTGACTAAAACTAAAAATTCAGAAGTAGTAATATCAGCACGCTAAATGTATGGAGTTTAAATACCAAAAGAAATAGCTAAGAGAGGCTGGTCTCTAGATTTGGAAGCTAGGGAAAGATTAGCATGGGTGGAACTTTGGGGCTTTTTGTAATATAATATTCCTTGCAGAGCTATTTTAAATTTATGTCCAGGTATAAGTGATATAAGCTTTTAGAGAACAAGATAAAGATCACCTGGGATATCATCATCAAGGTAACACAATAAAATTTTATTCAAACTCCATTCACAGACTTTCATAAACCTGCATATACATGCATGTGTATGGATGTAGTTTTCCTGTCAAACACACAATCACTGTACAAAACTATTTCCTAACTTACCTTCTCCCAGCAATTTGTAGTGACCATCTTTCCACAACATCAAATAAGAATTTACCTTCATTTTTAGTGTTTTTTTATTAAAAAGTTATTTTTTTAATGTTTGTTTATTTTTTTATTAACCTCTACATTCAATGTGGGGCTTGAACTCATGACCCTAGATTAAGAGTCACGTGCTCTTCCAACTGAGCCAGCCAGACAACCCCATTTTTAGTGGGTTTTTAGTGCCATTGTGTGAAAGCACGGTAATTTATTTAACCTGCTAAAGGATATTTAGGTTCTTTCTAGCTTTTTTTGTCCCATTATAAACACCTTCCAACATTTTTTCATTCTTTCTACAACATACCATGAGTGTCCATTTCTTAGTAATAAGAAGTATTATCAGTTTTTCATATCTGTCAATCCAGTTCCTTTAATATGCATTTCCTTAGTTACTAGTGAGTTTTAACTAATGAGTTATTTCTACTTTCTAGAGAGTTAGTCATGCTCAGGTTTCACAAATCACTTCTTCCAGCCTGAGTACCAAGAGAGATGGGTTGATAAATGAGATTGTGCAAGCAGTTCTGATGATTCTGAACAGGCAAATGGTGACTGGTGAGCTCAGGGTGGTAGTGCACCCTTCCCCCAAGAAGGAATCCCAGTGTGCAAGTATAGTTTTGCCATGGTAGAGGCTGCTAGTGTGGTCTATGCAGGTAGTTCTCAAATTGTGTCATTTGGACCAGCAACATCCAAGTATCACTTGGGAACTCTTTAGAACTGCAAATTCTCAAGCCCAACTCCAAACCTCTACGAAATGCCAAACTCTAAGAGTGAGGCCCTGCAAACTGTTTTAATAAGCCCTCCAGGTGATTCTGATGTACACAAAGTTTAATTATTGAACTTTGTTGCCCCTTACGATGATCTGTCAGAAATTTTATAAAATCTGAGTGGGATTTAAAATCCTGATTCTCAGGTCACACTCTGTACTAATGAAATAAAAATATTTGGGGGATGGGAGCCAGGCATCAGTATATTTTAAAGATCTGCAGGCAATTCCAGTGTCTAGCAAAGTTTGGGAAATTCTTATCCATAGTATTTTCTGTTTTCAGGTTTAGGGAGGCCAGCCACATTCCTGAGTCTTAGAAAGAAGTTCTGGGTCAGATGATGTAACAACCACTTCTCAGCTGGGAAGGTGGGAATGGAGGGAGATGGATCTGCTCAGGACAGGCCTGGGCAGCCCATGCTCAGGTCCAGCTCAGCCTCGCTGGGGTAGGGGACTGACTGGAAACCCTCCTGCTGAAGTGTCTGGACATGAGCTTCCATGCAAGTGTCTGCTCTGTGTCTGTCCTTGTGCAACTGATTTTCCTGTGGTTTTGAGGAGGACATATATTTTTTCTAAACTACCTCCTACCTCTCATTGTCTGTGTGTTGGAGGGGGGGAGGAGTGTAGGAAGGGAGAAGTAGTGTGACATTTTAAAATTTGGGAGTTCTGGGGCAATTTCGTTCTTACGGCTTTACCTTCTTACCCCAGCTCTAGCTTCTGTGGACTCTACTTCTCCAGCAAATGACCTTTGAGGAAAACTGACCAGTTTTTACAATCTGAAATCATGGCTCATGTAAGTTGGTGTTTCTGTTCAAAGTGCTGTAATTTTTTTCAGGTTATATGACAACTTTTGTTAGATATCCTGAAACTTCCTAACAGAGCCCCATCCGACAGCTTCTCCCCAGTCTTTCCCATTCTAGTAAGGGATAGAACCAGGCAGCCCAGGCCCCCATGTACCTCACTCTTTTCTACCCATGTCCATGTGTCTATTGACCAAATTATTCAGTGTATTGACTGTGTGTTCAGTCTTTGTCTGGAGCAGAGATAAAATAGAATTGAAGTCCCTAGAGGGAATTGTTTGATCTGAAGCTCTCAGTAATGGAGAACACTAGAGCAACACTGTCCAAAAGAATTATAATGTGAGCTACCTATGTAATTAAAAATTTTCTAGAAGTTGCATATTTAAAATATAAAATTAGTGCCTTCTTAAAGGCAGTAGGCAGCATGTAAGTCTCATAAAAAGTATAGAATAATATGCAAGGCACTTTACATAATCTTGAACTTTTTCGTAGTCATATTAAAAAAAGTAAAAAATAACACATGCAGTTAGTTTTAATGTTTTATTTAACTCAATATAGCACATATATATACCCAAAATGTTATCATTTCAAAGTGTAATCAATATTGAAATTATTGAGATCTTTTATTTTTTTTTTATTTCTAAAGTTTTTTATACTGGTATGTATTTTTGAATTACAGCAGATCTAAATTTGGACTAGCCACAATTTAAGTCCTCAGTCATCACGTGTCTAAGCCAGCATATTGGACATTGCAGCTTCAGAGATTTTGTGTAACCTGAATTCTAAATGTAACTTAATAGATTTAAAAGTATAGAAATACCTAAATACAATCATTCCTAAGTCTAACACAAATGGACTATTTTTTAGTAAATTAAAAATATTCAGTAAAGTATTTGTTACAACAAAGAAAAATGCTAATGATATAGTGATGAAGTCAGGTCTGGAAGAAATTAATTTTATACAAACTACTTTTTAAAAACAGATTTCATGTTTCATTTGGAGGAAAAGAAATTCATCAGTTTTTTGTTTTTTTTTCCTAATTCTTAAAGGAAAAGAGGTTAGAATAAAGCACATTTATTGAGAATTTTTTTATAGGCCCACTTAGGCCCTTTGCGAGCAGTGTTCTTATGAACCCTATTTCAGTTAATTGTGAAATTCTGATTAACTATGTGAACATACATAGAAATAAGTAAAATTAGGTATTCCATGGTACAAAGGAAGTTTTTTCTTTAGCAGTGGTTGGCAAACTACAGCTTGTGAGCCAGATTCATCCCTTGGCCTGTTTTTTCCAGCCTTTGAGTTAATTATGTTTTGAAAGAATTATTTTAAAAAGGAAGGGAAAGGGGAAGGATATGAAACAGATCACAAGTGGCTTGCAAAAGCTTAAATATTGGCCCTTTAGGGAAATGAATAATTTTAGAAATAATACATCGGTTTGTCATTTCAGCATTTGGTGATGTTCAGAGATGTGGCTGTAGACTTTTCTAAGGAAGAGTGGGAATGCCTGAACTCATATCAGAGGAATTTGTACAGAGATGTGATATTAGAGAACTATAGCAACTTGGTGTCAGTGGGTAAGCTTATCCGTGTCATATAATTTAGAAATTCACAGGGCTGAATTTCATGGCTGTCTTTCTAGAAATTAGCTGAGTATCTGCTTTGTAGTTGGGAATAGGCACCTTATAGCTAATAAGCAATTAAATAGCACCTTTAGCTTCCACCATAATCCAGTGACCTTTATGTCTTTCTGTGCCTTTTCTGTTAATTGCTCCTCTTTAATGACAGCTAGATACAAATTCTCAGACACTCACAGCAAAACCATTGTCAAAGAAATCTGGTTTCTTATTGCTATGCATGGCATATTATCTGTTAGTTTACTTGCAATGTGAGTAGGAAGACTATAGAGGTGTCTGGCTCCACATATCTATTTAAAAAGCTTATACAATGTATATGTTGCTGGGTTGAATCAACAGTTTGTTAAAACTCAAGTGGACACATTCAATTTACCACAGCAGAAATACTGCCTTTTAATTGATTTATGATTAAAAGTTTAAAATACATGAATTTTGCATTTAATATTGGATGTATATCCTGGTTAGAAACTATTTTCCTCTTAGCAAAATAACAAAATACCTAATAAAAGCATCTAATAAGTGTGTATATATATATATATATATATATATATATATATATATAGTGTTTACTATGTACTAAGCACTCATCCAAGCACTTTACATTTATAAAATCAAACCTCACAGCAGTCCAATGGATAGACATAATACCTCCTTTTTACAGCTGAGAAAACTGAGGCCATAGCAACCCAAGTGGTAGAGGCAGGATTTGAAACCAGTATTCTCAAATCATTACTTCCTCAAAAAAAAAAAACAAAAAAAAATCCCCCAAATCATTACTTCTCTCAAGAGAGGGACTCTTGTATGAGTTTAAATTAAAATAAGACAATGTTCCTACTCCTCTGTTCTTGTTATTCCTTGTGACCCTGAAGTAACACTAATATGAATGTGTTTCAATCCCGTTACTCCTCTTTGTTCTGAGAGCTCTATCAAGTTAATTCTTTCTTTATTATGTACCATTATGTTTTTTCAAGCAGGATGTTCCATTTCTAAGCCAGATGTGATTACCCTACTAGAGCAAGGGAAAGAACCCTGGATGGTTGTGAGGGACGAGAGAAGAAGAAGGAGCCTAGGTGAGTAAGTGCTAATCAGGCAGAGATATGTGGTTATCTGTGTCTGCAAGGCACAGGCTGCTGGTTGGGAAGGTAACACACCCCATAGATGTTGATAATGAAGAGAAGACCTGAAACCTGGGAAGAAAACAGATCTCAGCATAGCCAGGAAAGAAATTTCATCTATACTTCCACTTACCACTTGTTTCTTCACTCTCCCATCTCCCTGTCATTTCAGTGGGGGGAAACTTCATAATGGCAACCATTTTACCTGTATTTTGGATCTAATTCATTTCTGGTTCATCTTTTATATACATATTTCTCCATTGTTCTCTTTTCATGAAGTTTACATTGTCGTAGGGAAGTCATACAATACACAAATAAGCAAATGGATTACCAAATATCGTGAAATGATTAAGTTATGAAGAAATGTAAGTAGGGTAAGAATGTGGAGAATTATGATGGATGAATGGGGTAACTTTAGATAAGGAGGTCAGAGAAGAGGAACCAGTTGTAAGACGCTCCAGCTGGTCAAAGATGGAATCATTTGACTATACACATAACTGCAGTGTATTGTAACACATAAAATATGCTTAATTCCATAAATTCTTAGTGATACTAATAGCAAATTGTTCACCATTGGAAACTACTAGAGATTTAACTTATTTGGGAAATAGAAAGGAAAAGAAGTATTCTTTATAAGAAGTATTTTTTATAAGAACTGTACCAATATTAGATAGAGGGATGTTTTTCTTAATAAAAGTATTCAGGGCGCCTGGGTGGCTCAGTTGGTTAAGCGACTGCCTTCGGCTCAGGTCATGATCCTGGAGTCCCAGGATTGAGTCCCGCATCGGGCTCCCTGCTCAGCAGGGAGTCTGCTTCTCCCTCTGACTCTCCCCCCTCTCATGTGCGCTCTCTCTCTCTCATTCTCTCTCTCTCAAATAAATAAATAAAATCTTAAAAAAAAATATTCAGTGAATAAATGAAAGATGACAATTAGAATATTACCATTTTGGAACCCATAATGAACAACTGGATCTGGGCATTAAATATCAAATTAAACATTAATAACATCACAGAAATAGAGACAATCAGACGTTTTCTTCTTTGTTTTTTTTTTTAAAGATTTTATTTATTTGAGAGAGAGAATGAGAAAGAGAGAGAGCATGAGAGGGGGGAGGGCCAGAGGGAGAAGCAGACTCCCCGCTGAGCAGGGAGCCCGATGTGGGACTCAATCCTGGGACTCCAGGATCATGACCTGAGCCGAAGGCAGTCACTTAACCAGCTGAGCCACCCAGGCGCCCCAGACATATTTCTTCAAATGAAAGGATACAGTATCACCTATGAAGTAACTTTGCCAATAAAATTGGTCCTAAGTCTGATGAGGTTTCTAAAGCTAACTACCAATTTATGGGAAGAAGATAGAGGAACATATGTTCTGCTGCACCTTGGGATAATAGTCAGCAAAATTAAGAAATGGGCAACGCTATAGGGTCAAAAAACAGTTTCTTCAACAAATAAATTACAAGGGAAATCGAAAGAAAGCAGGAAAACCTTTAGATTAAAAGACATAAAAGACCTGTCAGCCAGTTGTACTCTCTGGACTTTTTTGGGGGATCAATTTACTATTTTTAAATTGTTTAAAATTTTATGTTTGAGATTAGAAGTATAAACACTTATTTTTTATAATCTTAAAGAATTACTGTTCATTTTTTTAAAGATTTGAATAATGGTATGATTAGAGATAAATCCTTTAAGTAGAAAAAATTAGTATATGGGATTTGCTTCAAATAATGTGAGGAAAGTGGATTGGGCTGTGCATTGGCCTGGATTGGGCATGGGTTGGTGGTTGTTGAGGCTGGGTCATAGATGCATGGATATTCATTATACTGTTTTACTTTTGTGTATATTAGAGATACTCTGTAGTAAAGTTTTATTTTAAAGTTATTGGGAGATAAAAGGATAAGAAAATGAGACATGAGACAGTGGTGAAAATAAGTATATACAAGTCTTGGAGAAATTCTGCCATAAAAGCAGACACATGGGATACATGAAATGTCTTTTAAGATGTGAAGTATTAGGGGATGCCTGGGTGGCTCAGTCAGTTAAGCAGCTGCCTTCAGCTCAGGTCATGATCCCAGGGTCCTGGGATTGAGTCCCGCATCGGGCTCCTTCTCCCTCTGCCTGCAGCTCCCCTTGCTTGTACTCTCGCTCACTCTTTCTCCCCTACGCTCGCTCTCTCTAGCAAATAAATAAAATCTTAAAAAAAAAAGATGTGAAGTATTAGAACATATTTATATGTTGATGGGAATGATTTCAAAGAGAGGAAAGTTGATGGAGGAGAGAGATAGGATAATTTTGTAAGGAATGGCCTTCAGTAGATGGGAAGGAGTCAGCCAATTTATGAAGAAAACTCATGCGTATGACAAGGATAGGGACACAGGTTGGTTGAATAACGTGAAGGAGAATACATGTTTTCCTTTAAAATGCTTCTGATTTCTTGTTGAAATAAAGAGATTATCAGCAGAATGTGAGGATTATTTAACATTTTATTGGAATTCATTATGGATTATTCAGTATGTAGTCAGTATTGATTCTCAGAAATATAACTCTGTGGTCATAGGGTTTTAATATTTACAGATTTCTTTTAATACATTAACCCTGGTGTTAATGTGACTAAAACTGCCTCTATCATAAATATATATCCCATATCATCTTGTATCAACAAAGGAAAAAAGGTGATTAAAGACACCACACCTTAGGAAATGAATTTTGTGACCAGGTAATATTCTCCTCATTTTCTTTTTAATGAAAGCTGATACCCTGGAAATGGAAATAACATTTCTCCTTTTATATTGATCCAAGAGGGGCTAATATTTTGCTTGCACATTAGCATTTTTTACTAAAGTTCTTGATTCAGTAGAATCCAAACTAGTGTTTGGTTTATTAATTTTAAATGGTTAAATATTTTACATATATCTTAAAAGTTGTAACATTAACATTTCTTACCATAGGCCAATCTTTTGATACTTAGTTTGGCTTTTTGTTTCATTGTAGGTCCAGCCAATTCTTTCTTGATTAGATCACACATATAATGGGAAGGCTATATTTCTAGTTTCAGTTTAAAGTAGAACAAGAACCTGAAGTATTCAATGTTGTTTTTATAGAAATGATTGTCTTAGTTGCTTGCAGTGGTAAGAATTGGCATAAACAAATTTGGGAACAAATATGGCTGACTTTTTGTTTATACAAATCATAAGATTACAGCTCAGTGTTCATGCTATAGTCTCCTAGGTGAGAATATTCAAAATGCAAGGTCTTAATCTGGCATATCTTTTAAGTGGTGGGGGCATATATGAGAGTGTCAGGTTCATTATATCCACATTGGGAATGTTTTGTTTTTTAATGGAAACCTCTACGTTTTATAGGATGAGTTTTTTAATTTTTTAAAGATTTTATTTTTAAGTAATCTCTATACCCAATATGGGGCTCAAACTTAAAACCCTGAGATCAAGAGTCACATGCTTCACCAACTGAGCCAGCCTGGTTCCCCTATAGGATGAGTTTCATAACTTGTTCTACTTTGTGTGTGTGTGTGTGTGTGTGTGTGTGTGTGTGTGTGTGTGTGTGTGAGAGAGAGAGAGGGGGTGAATATGGACATTTTATTTTTGTGTATATTTATACTTGTTTTGCATTTTGACTGCTCATCTCCTTTATTACTGTTTCCATTGTTTAATATTTCTTATATCAATTTATATGGGCGTTTATGCTGTCAACACTTTCTCATTTTTCTTGCAGATGTTTCAGCTTTATTTTTATTTTGACCATGACTTTTCCTTTTTTATGTTTGTTTTTTTTTTAATGACTTTCCTTTTACATTACTGGTCTTTACTTTTTAACTTACAAGTAAATCCTTTGAACTTACCATCTTATAACCTTTGTCATATCTTTATGGCTGCCTATTTATTTGCTGCCATTATTATTTAGCTAATTACTGGTCATTTAATATATCATTTCCATCTTATTTGTCTTAAGCCTTAAATTGACTTTTTCCTGAAGATCCTTACAAGTTGCCAAAGTTTTTTATTGCTTTCTTAGGTAGGGAAATGGAAACAGAGAGAAAGGGGAAGAGAGAGAAAGGGAAAGCGGGAGGAAAGAGGGAATTAAGGGGAAAAGGAAATACTCATTTACCTGTCTCTGCTCATATTTTATATACACTATTTAAATCATTATTGCCTTTAATGTTTTTAACATATCTTTTTTTTTTTTTTAAGAGAGAGAGCATGTGCATGTGGTTGGGGTGGGGAAGGGCAGAGGGAGAGAGAATCTTAAGCAAGCTCCACATTCAGTGCAGAGCCTGACACAGGGCTTGAGCTCACGACCCTGAGATCATGACTAAGATGAAATCGAGTGTCAGACGCTTAACTGACTGAGCCACCCAGGCACCCCAGTATATCCTTTTCTAAACAAACTTATTGAAACATAAATACCTACCAAAACCCTGAAATCATAAGCAAACAGCTTACTGAATTTTCACAAAGTAATCACACCCATCTGACTAGCACAGAAATAGAGGTTTGCTAGGATATTAGAAGGTCCCTCCTAATTCCTTCCAGTCTTTCCTCCCCACCAAAATTAACCACTATCTTGAATTTTAACAACTATATAGATTTTACCATTTTCGAACTTCATAAATATGGAACTATACAGTATATATTCTTTCATGTTTGTCTTTGTTTACTCATCATTATGTTTGTGAGATTGACCTATGCTGTTGCATGTACTTGTAGATTACTCATTTTCATTGTTATACAGTATTGTGTTCCTACAATATGTTTTAATTTGCATAGTAATTCTGATGAACACTTGGATTCTTTCCAGTTTGGGCATATTAAAAATAGTGTTCCTGTATTACAGGTTCTTAAAAATACCATTTTCTTTTTGAAAAGTAGTGAACTCTTATTGTAAAAATTTTGAGAAAATATACATTTGAGAAAAATCTCTTTGCTCAGAATTTTATTAGCTTGTTACTATGATATAAACTCATTCTTATGCCTGAAAAATCACTAAAATACTCCCTAGGTAGAACCTAAATGGCATTGGCTTTGAGGACCTTAGGGAGAATATAGAGAAGCGTATGAAGGAACAAAACAGGTTGAGTATTTGTAACATAGATATGTGTAGTTATATAAGCTGAAATAAAGATAAAGTAGAACCTCTCACTACCTTGTGAAAACAGAGTTTACTCATGACTATGCAAAGTAGAAAATGAGTTGTAGTGGAGATATCTAAGTGAAAGTAGACAATGGGAAAGATAATCACATGTAAAGAAATCACCATTTTTCATTTATATATTTGAGATAGCTTAGATGTGCTGTTGTTTCCCATCTGTATAGGAAGTAATAAAAAATATTAAATCAGTGTAGTAAGGTATAAGATTAGCAGCAAGGGAACATATGTAAAAACTGTTAACTAATTATGAGAATTTAATAATTAATAGTTACTATATGCCATGGGTTTGTTATTCAGTGGTAAATGAATTGTTTCTGCCCTTGGGAAAGTTTAAGGTAAGAAAATAAAGAGAATAAAAAAATAGGAAAATTTATGAATATGTATGTAACAACAAAATTGAAAAAATGTTAAGAAATAAGAAACAAATTACTTGGATAGAAAGTAAAGGATATAAATTAGATGAAGTCAGCAGCGTGGGTCTGATTTTTAACATGGTACCTAAAGGATGAAAGGAACCCAACTATGTAGAGAATGCAAGTTGGCAGTTCTGGGAGATTTAATAGACAGTGAAAAGCTAAGAAATGGAAAGATAATTACATATTCTAGGAGCTGAAAGGAGGCTAATGGAATAGGAATATAGGGAAGAAAGGGGACAATGACTTGAGATGATATGGTAAACAAAAGCCATGTTATTCATGGTGAGATGTTTGTACATTCTGTTTAAAAGGAGTAATTATTTAAAAATTTAAGTGAAGTTTCTCAGACTTTGACCTGCACCCAAATACATGATTACTTTAGAGATTTTTAGCTCATTTACTTCAACTGAGCTTTATTTTCTTTTTTTTTCTATTATAAAGTTTATATTTACTGGTTTATTTTTTCTAGAATAAGAAGATAGCATGTATTTATCTTTTCTTGCAGATTTAGAATCCAGATATGACACTAAAAGGTTATTTCAAGAAAAGGATATTTATGAAATGAATTTATCTCAGTGGGAGATAATGAGAAGAATTAGAAGTTGTGGCCTTGAAGACTCCTTTATCAGAAAAGATTATAAATATAAAAAGTTTGAGGGACCAGAAGGTCCTCAAGAGGGATATTTCAGGCAAGTGAAAAAAATGCCCAGTTACAGAAAACTCACATCTCTTACTCTGTATCAGAGAATTCATAATAGAGAGAAACCCTACGAATGTGGGGATTGTGGGAAAGCCTTTAGGGTGCGCCAACAACTTACTTTCCATCAGAGAATTCACACTGGTGAAAAACCCTATGAATGTAAAGAATGTGGAAAAGCCTTTAGACAGTGTGCCCACCTTAGTCGACATCAGAGAATTCATACTTCTGACAAACTCCTCGAATGTAAAAAATGTGGAAAGATCTTTACATGTGGTGCAGATCTTCGAGTACATCAGAGAACTCATATTGGTGAGAAGCCCTATGAATGTAAGGAATGTGGAAAGGCCTTCAGAGTGCGAGGACAACTTAATCTCCATCAAAGGATTCATACTGGTGAGAAACCCTATGAATGTAAGGAATGTGGGAAGACCTTTAGACAGTATGCACACCTTACACGACATCAGAGACTTAATATTGCTGAGAAGTGCTACGAATGTAAGGACTGTGGGCAGGCTTTTTTGTGTAGTACAGGCCTCAGAGTACATCACAAACTTCATACTGGTGAAAAACCCTATGAATGTAAGGAATGTGGAAAGGCCTTCAGAGTGAGACAACAACTCACTCTCCATCAGAGAATCCATACTGGTGAGAAACCCTATGATTGTAAAGAATGTGGGAAGACTTTTAGTCGTGGTTATCATCTGACCCTCCATCAGAGAATTCATACTGGTGAGAAACCTTATGAATGTAAGGAATGTCAGAAGTTCTTCCGTCGTTACTCAGAACTTATTTCACATCAGGGTATTCATATTGGAGAGAAACCCTATGATTGTAAGGAATGTGGGAAGACCTTTAGACTGTTCTCACAACTTACTCAACATCAGAGTATTCATTTTGGTGAGAAACCTTATAAATGTAAGGAATGTGAGAAGACTTTTAGACTGCTATCACAACTTACTCAACATCAGAGTATTCACACTGGTGAGAAGCCCTATGACTGTAAGGAATGTGGAAAGGCCTTTAGACTTCATTCATCCCTTATTCAACATCAGAGAATTCATTCTGGTGAAAAACCATACAAATGTAAGGAATGTAAAAAAGCATTTAGACAACATTCCCATCTTACCTACCATCAGCGAATTCATAACGTAACTAAATAACTATAGGAAAGTCTTCCACTGTGAATTTTGTGTTAAGGGGCATTAAAAGATAAATTCTAGGGGAAGTTTTTGAATACAGTAATCCCTTTGGCTTCATGCTTACAACTAAGCTGAATAAGAGGTTTTATTTGAAGGAAAGGGTATATTAATTTCATGAATTTGTAGAAGCCTTTCCTCAGCATCAAAAACCATGTTAAACTTCAGGAAACTTGTTCTAGAAAGAAACTCTTAAAGGAGTAAATATAGAAGAGCTTTTGATCTTACCCTATTATATCACCTCTGTCCTCCTGTCTGTATAATATACATATGGAGGTTGCTAGGACACTAACTCATTCCAAAAATGATAATTGAAAGGAAAGTCATTTAGCCTGCATTTCCTATTGAACTGTATTTTAGGGCAACTAGAAGTTGATGAGTTAAAGTTCTTTGTTAGAGTTTTGTAGCACATAATGAAATAATGGATCTAGGCACAATTCCCAATAAAGGTTAAGACCAGTGTAGGTACCCACTGATCGATTTTAATCTCATGAAAAATAGGATAAAACACTTTGTGCCCCCTAATGTGTTACAATAAGGCTGACGCATCTTGCCCAAAAATATTGAACCTGAATCTAAGCGTCAAGATCTAACTTCCACTTTAGAGAAAATTCAGGGAACAGAAGAACATGACACAAGCAATTAAACTAATCTAAAATGTGGGTAATTCTACAAGAGGAATAACCTGAGTTCTCAAACGATAAAATGGCATTGAAAAAGGGGAGGCGGAACTCTTAGATATTAAGAGAGTCTGAAGAAATGTATACCAATCAAATGCAATGAATTAGATTCACAAGAACAAACATGTAAAAAGGACATTTTTATGACAATTAGGGAAATGGGAGTATTGACAGTATTAGATAATATTTAAAAATTATGTTTTTGTTAGGTGTGATAATAGCATTGTGGTTATGTAAAAAGGTAAGTTTATACACAAGATGATAATGATGTCTGGAACTTTTTAAAAATGCTCATGCAAAAGGAAAATAAGGATGGATACAAAGTGATGGTAAGATGAGTCTTGGGTACATGGTTTTTGTTTATTTTGTTTTTGCTAATTTCTCTACTTTTATGTATTTCAATTTTCCCATAATATTTTAAAGATAAAATTAGCTATGGAATTATAACCCAATTGAAGTAAATGATTTTTTTAAATGACTACATATCAAAATTTGTGGATGTTGTCAAAGCTCTGCACATTGGGATATTAAATATGCTATACCGTATTTGGGAAATAAAAATCGAGGGTCCAGATTTTATCTAGTTCACCTATTGCTACCTCTGTTATCATGCCTGTCCCACAGTATTTCATATGTTTTAAAAAATGAGTTTAAAAAGCAATTACTACAACCAAATATGGAAATTAATGGAATAGACCTTCATTGTCTAATAAGATAGTTGCCAGCAATATGTTGCGCACTCAAAATTGAGCACTTGAATTGTGGCTAGTTCGAATTAAAATGGTGGTAAGTGTAAAATACACATGAGGTTTTGAAGATTTAGTTTTTTAAAAAGAATGTAGTATATTCTGTTTCTCACAACATTTCTCTGCTGTGATATTCAGTGGGTTGCATTATTACATAATAGAGAACCCAATTTAAGTGTCTTTTCTTTTCCCAAGTAGCATGTTTGAATACTGAGGTCTTGGTTCTACCCTGAGTCATGCTTCCCGCCCCTCTCATGAAACACAGGTAACCTGTGTTTACAGCTGAGTAGTTTTCTCAGACGGTTTTTAGCTCGTAGATGTTTTGGGATCCCAAGGCCCTTTCACCCTGTACTGTTTCTATCCCATTAAGTTCAAGCTTGCAGTGCTGCAAGTAGTACACTTGTCTTAAAAACTGTATTTTCAGTGGATTTTATTAGGGGTCACTCAGACAAAAGATCAACAGGCTTTTCTCTGTATTGGCCTCCCTATGAGGCTGCTGTGGAAAAATGACTGAAATTCTTAGAAGCCCTGTTGTTTCACAGAAAGGATAATAACGTTCATCATTATTCTGAGACTACATTTTCAGGACAGTACCATATATTTGATTTTTTCTTTCCCTCTCAGGCCCAATTATAACTTTGAAAACACTTTGCTATCTGGAAACACTGCCATGGAACCCTTTATATATCCTTGAAATTCTACTTGAAATATGCACCAGTTGATATAATGAGTAAAATGTGATTTTTCTCTTTTCCTCTGTTACGATGGATTATCTTCATGAATTTCCAAATATTGACCAAACCTTACATCACTGGAATAAACTCCATTTGTTTGTAATGCATACTTCACATATATGTAGTACATAAATATATTGCTGGATTTGCTGTGACTACTATGATTTGCTAATATTTTGTTGAGGATTTTTTTTTCTTTTTGAGGATTTTTGCATCAGTGTTCATGAGGATTACTGGCCTGTAGTTTTCTTTTATTCAACTGTCTGCCTCATTTTGCTAACATGGTGATGGTGGCCTCATAAAATGGGTTTCGAAGTATTGCCTCCTTTCAATTTCTGGAAGAGGTAGTGTAGAATCATTATTATTTAAATGTTTGGTAGAATTTTTCAGTGAAACCATTTGGGCCTTGAAATGGATTGAATGTGTCTCCTCAAAATTCATGTGTTGACATCCTTCCCCCTAATGTGATGACAGGAAGTGGAGCCTTTTGGAGGTAATTAAGTGTTGATGATGGATCCCTCCTGATTGAGATTAGTCCCCGTATCAAAAGGATTCCAGAGAGCTCTCTTAAACTTTTCTGTCATGTGAGGACACAAGAAAATGGCAGTCTTTATTGTGGAAGAGGGTTCTTGCCAGAAACTGACCGTGCTGGCACACTGATGTCAGACTTGCAGCCTCAAGGAGTGTGAGAAATTTGTTTATAAACCACCCAGTCTATTGTACTGTATTATAGCAGCCCAAAATGAGTAAGACAGAAATTGGTACCAGAAGTGGGGTGTTAATGTAACAAATACCTAAAAATGTGGAAGTGGCTTTGGAATTGAATAATAGGTAAGGGCTGGGAGAGTTTTTAGGTGCATGCAAAAAATAAGGACATTAATGGCAATTTTGGTGATGCTCAGAAGAGAAAGCTGAAAGAAAACTTCAGTCTTATAGAATACATTATTGACAGAATGTTGGTAGAAATATGGATGGTAAAGGCAGTACTGATGAGGTCTCGGATGGAAGTGAGTAACATGTTATTGGAAACTGGAGAAAAGGCAGTTCTTTTTACAAAGTGAAAAGAACTTGGTGAAATTATGTTCCGTGTCATGTTTTGTGGGAAGTAGAACTTGTGAGTAATGAAATTGAAGGTGTGGCTTGGCTCCTTCTGGCTGATTATAATAAAATGTAAGAAGAGAGAAATGACTTAACAATGGAATTTTTGAAACAGATACTTGGAAAATTTTTAGCTGAATAGTTAATTGGTGTTAAAATGCTATTAAAGTGAGGGCATTGATGGGGTGCCTGGGTGGCTCAGTCATTTAGTGTCTGCCTTCAGCTCAGGTCATGATCCCAGGGTCCAGGGATCAAGCCCCACATCAGGCTCCCTGTTCTGCGGGAAGCCTGCTTCTCCCTCTCCCACTCCCCCTGCTTGTGTTCCCTCTCTTGCTGTGTCTCTGTCAAATAAATAAAATCTTAAAAAAAAAAAAGAGTGAGGGCATTGATTGGGAAAGAATGGGATCCTGTAAGATGGCATGGGGACAAGTGGGAAGGCTCTGATGTAGCTGGGACATTGAGCTCCTAAATTCTGAGTCTTCCTTATCAGTGGAAGCAGCCTCATCAGCAGAAGTGGCCTTTCCACTCCTCGTGGCAGTGGCATCCCCACGCACAGTGGCATCAGCCTTTATATTCCCATCTTATGGAATTTACTATGCATTGCCTAAAGAAACTGTAATGACCTCCGTTGAGGCAGTGGCCATGCAAGGCAACAGAAGCCCCCACAACCACCCCCTTTTGTTCGCAGACCTATCACTGGACTCAAGTCCTAGCAGGCTCCTAAAAGTGCAGTGCAGAGTGTGACCCATGAGGAAGGGGTGCTACAGTCCAAAAGAACTACTTGAGTTTTCTAACTTACACAGACAAATCCGGGGAACAAGTGTGGAAATGGATACAGTGTATGGCATTATAGTGGAAGGAAGATGATGGGAAATTTGGGCAGTGAAATCTGGGGAAGAGATAGGTGGATAGACCTCTCTGAATCAGGGCAAAAAAAATTGAAGATACCCATGTCCCATATAAATGGGAGACCTCAGCAAAGGATTTTAATAAGTAGATGAAATGGCCTGTTCTGTGGCTAATGACTTTTTTCCCCAGCCACCCCGGTCATTGTCCAATGGGCTTGTGAACAAAATGGTCATTTTGCCAGGGATGGAGATTATGCCTGTGATCAGCAACATGGACTTCCACTCACCAAGGCTGACCTGGCTATGGCCATTGCTGAGTGCTCAGTCTGCCAGCAACAGAAACAAACTGAACTCCCCAGTATAGCACCATTCCCTGAAGTGTTGAGCCAGCTACCTGGAAGCATGTTGGTTACATTGGACCATCATGGAAGAGGCAGCGTCTTAATCTTACTAGAATAGAAACTCTGGATGTGGATTTACTTTCCGTACATGCAAAGCTGATAAAACTACCATCCATGGACTTACAGAATGCCTTATCCACTGTCATGGTATTCCTCACAGCATTACCTCTGATCAGGGAACTCACTTCACAACAAAGTAAGTGCAACAGTGGGTCCATGCTGATGCAATTCACTGGTCATATTATGTTTCCCATCATCCTGAAGCAGTTGGCCTGGTAAAACGATGGAATGACACTTTGAAGACTCAGTGATAGCACCAGCTGGGTGTCAAAACTTTGCAGGCTGAGGCAGGGTTCTCTGGAAGTCTGTATATGCTCTGAATCAGCATCTGATATAT